TGGCGTATATTCATACGGGGGTATGCGGAGAAGGCTGAGCCATTGAGGTTACTCCTTCGAAAGACTGAAAAATTCTACTGGGATTCTTCGCAGGAACTCGCAATGCAAGAACTTAAAGACGAATTTAAGGAAGGAGGACGCGTGTTGGGTGTGCCATTCTTTGACGATGAGACCGAGAGACCCTTCATAGTATCCACGGATGCTAGACCATATTCAGTCGGTGGTTTGTTGTCTCAGAAAGACGCTGGAGGGAAGGAAAGACCGTTGAGATTTGAGAGTAGGACACTTAATACGGCTGAGCGTAACTACAGTCAATTCAAGAAGGAAGTGCTAGCTGTTCTCCGGTGTCTAGAGACGTTCAGACACTATATCTATGGGCGACGGTTCATCTTGAGAGTAGACCCCACCGCGGTTGCCTCTGTCCTCCAGAAGGACTTTAGTCTGACGSACCCGACCATCGCCCGATGGTTAATACGGATTCGGTTATACGATTACACGGTCGAAAGAGTATCTGGTACGAAAAATGCCGTGGCAGATGGACTTTCACGCATCCCTCTCGAGCGTCCGATAGTAGCTGGGGCTCTGACAATGGCAGAGCCGAGACGCGCCGAGAGATTCCTAGTTAATCTTTACGATGGCAAGTACCGAATGATCGGACTACACCTGACGGGAGAAGAGAGTCAAGATTCAGGAATCCGGAGGCAAGCAGCCCAGTACTGCCTTAGAGCGGGCCACCTTTTCCGAAGGCCAGTAGGGTCGGGAATGCCCTTACGAGTAATCTGTGATCCTGAGGAAAGACAGACGATAGTTGCGGAACTTCACGACGGGGTAGCCGGGGGACACAGGGGAGTTAAAGGAACCTACGAAAAGATACGTCGGCTGTACTGGTGGGATGAACAGTATAAGGACGTCGAGAGGTACTGTATGACATGCCAAGAGTGCCAGAAGAAAGCTCTTGTGAAATACAAAGAGCCACTTCATCCATCCTATCCGACCAGACCAGGAGAGAAGGTACACATCGATCTAGTGAAAATACCGAGAGGGGTAGGCAATATGAACTACGTTGTGAACATACGAGACGATTTCACTGGGTTCGTGGACGGTAGACCTATCAGGAGTAAGGCGGCAAAGGAAGTAAAGAACTTTGTCCTAGAGTACTTATCTAGGTATGGTTGTGTCAGCAAGATAGTGATGGACAGAGGGGCGGAATTCCTAGCCGACGAGGTCCAGAGCGTGTTTAGGAGAGCCGGTGCGAGAGTTTCGATAGCCACCGCCTATCACCCACAGTCGAACTCCCCAATAGAGAGGGGACACCAGACTCTAATAGCGTCACTGTCCAAGTGGTGCAAGGGTAAGGACAGTGATTGGCCACAATATTTTCGATACGCGATATGTCACGGGCTAGTACCGGATACCCACCATACACCTTGTGGTTTGGACGACATTGTCCGCTTCCCATAGAGTTTCACGTCGTCAGCTGGACAACCGTCGATTGGGCGGAGGAGATGTCCAGAGAGGAACTCTTAGCAGCCCGAACGAGACAAATAGCCTACGGTTTGGAAGATGACCTCATGACAGCGGCAGACAGTCTGGCAGTAGAAAGAGACAAAGGTAAAGAGAGATGGGATAAGAACGTGAGAATCAGGAAGGAGAGGGTGAGTGTAGGAGATATGGTCCTTCTCTACGATGCAGCGCTGGAAAGAACCTGGACCGGAAAGCTTGCTAATAGATGGATGGGACCTTACAGAGTGGTTGAGGCACTTGACTGGGGTGCATATATGATAGCAGAACTAGACGGATCTATGTGGAAGGACCCAGTGGCGGGGGCTAGGTTAAAGCTGTTTAGGCCCAGCCCCACGCCCGCTTTATCGCTAACCAGCCCGAAAGGGAAAGGGAAAGCCATGATGGAGGATGGAGCGCCCTTGAGGCAATTCGGGCCATGAGAGAGTTCCAAGAAAAGGAAAAGAATAGAGAAGAGAAAGGTCAAAGGGGTAGCTTTAGGAAGAAAGAAGAGATGGTTATTCGTGCTCAAGCGAGCTAGACAGAGAGTTCGCGTTAGACGTATAGACGGGTCGACACCCTTCTCGGGGCAAAGACAGAAGAAAGAGAGGATCGTACCGGGACCAAAAACCAGAAGAAACAGGAAAGTCAAGAAACATCTTCTTAGCCCCAGGACCCATGACAAACTGAGACATAAGACAATTAAACGCCGACGTGGGCGTCTTTTACGGGCCATCACCCTGAAGCTCGTCCGCTTCGTCTGACGTAAGTTGCTAGGGCTCGACGGGGGCGTCAAGAAGTCGTCCGGGCTAACTGTCAGGCGGCCACAAGCAGTGCGCCGCTTGAAATCTACGGGTTTAGGGACTTAGGCTCAAAGACAAGTCCGTGTAATGACGGTACTCTGGTTTGACCAGGCAGCAAAAATTAGGGGTACCCCGAGTATCCCTAAGATTAGATATCACGACCGTTGAGACTAACTCTCGAAATTGATAAGAAGGACTACCTCTTCTACCGCGGCGGCGTCTATCTCAATGCCGCCGTCTTTAGCTTGTTTCCGGGACGGCCGCCTGCTAAACAACAACATGAAGATAGGCTTAGGCGTGGTTCTTTTACGCCCCACAACTGGCGCAGAAGCGGGGCCTCGGATATCATCAATTTTGGTATCAAAATTAGAAAAAGAGAACATGAATTAAAAACAAAAGAAGAAAAGAGAAAAATGGAATATTCATTAATTTATTCAAAATCTTTGATATTTGATTTTTAATGGGACCGCCCTCAATTATTGGAATTTTTGACAATAGAGTTGAAAATAAAATAAAAAAGGATCAAAGGCGATAAAAGAAAAAGAAAACAAAGAATTTT